ATTCAAACCTGCACTTCAGCACAATGAAGCTTATTGCAGCAGTAAGGCACTATTAATCAAAATGTGTTGCTTCACCTAGTCCAATACGACGTCTAGGAGTATTTAGAGAGATGTTATAATCCTAAATAAAACGGTCATCCTGGGGTGCTCTAGTCTAGGCAACTGCAGTACGACTGATGGCCCTTACAATATAAAGGGTTTAAAAAAACATTGAGGAATTTAAATCTTGAAGTAATAATGCTCAGGCAACTGGAAAGTAAACTTCCCTTTCACTAAAACAATTGGCCCTGGTTTTTGCTCCAACAAACAGGAATGGCTGTGTACCAAATCTAGAAGCTGACAGCCAAGGTAGAATAACATGACATAGATTAAATGAATTCATTACAATGGCAACAACTGTGGGGGATACTATTTTTGTCAAACTGCTTTAAAATGTTATTACTTAAAATCTTGCCACACATTTTGTACAGTTGGCATAAAAACAAGTACATTTGAACACTCAGCGCCACCATACCAAATTCTGAGTACTAAGTAGGGCTGTGCGATTATGGCAAAAATCATAATCACGATTATTTGGGTCAATAATTGATATCACGATTATTAAATACGATTATTCATTGACTTTGAAAACATCCATTTATTGAACTTTTAAATACAAATAATAATTTGAACAGTATCTTTTTAACTGTTGATTACCCTGAATGTATAATTCAACTGAAAAACCAATACTAAAATAAATGATATATTTATATTTACATTTAAATAAATAATATCAAAATAATAAATACCAATAAACAAGATCAACAAATATTTTGGAGCGCACTTCCACAAGCTACTAAACATATATAAATATGATAAATACAAATAAATGAGACCAAAATTAATTAGATCAAATATGTTGCAGTGCACTGTCACAACCTAGCAAAGCAAAATAATAGTTTTTTCCGATTATGTTGTTTTCGTAATTGTGGCAGGCCAAAATCGTAATTGCGATTAAAATATGATTAATTGCACAGCCCTAGTACCAAGGTATTGGTTATTCCACCAGCATGGAGGTGTTAACCTACACATGACCACACTCTAAAACCTCCTATTACAGGAAGGTACCTTGAAATAGAATTTCCATCTGATTATACCTGAAAAGCATTTGATTAGGTGAAAGAGCAAATATTTGATATCTATTAAAAACACCCGACTACAGATTTTCAGATACGGCATTCAAAATAATTAAATTAATTAATCCTCCCTCATCTCACTCCCAGACAACTTTTTATGTCCATCAGATGAACTCTGAAATGGGCTTTCAGCCAATCAAAGAAACATCTTATTCAAACAGTCCCCTTGAGAGCATGTTTCCTTGATCTTAATTTAAGATAGAATCTATGGTGAACACTGGCATGGGAGGCACATGCTATTGATTCATTTTTCATTGCCGTTCTTTTTAAACACCAAGGACATGTGCCACATCAAATCTGCTCAACCCTCAGCACCCCGTTTAATGGCTTGTTTGAAACAAAACAGTCTTTTGAGGTATTTGGTTTTAAAAGGTAAAGAGGGGAATAAAAGAGGAAGGGTGCCTTGATTTCCTTTCAGGCTCACCATATTTCTTTTTTTGTGTAGGTCCTTTGTAAGCACTCCTGGCATAGTGAACGAGCACTTGATTGGAGTTAAAGAGGAGCCAGATGTCTGCGTGTCCTTTCAAGGCAACTCTCTCTTTCTGTCTCCCTCGTTTCTCATCTGGATGCTTTGCAATCTATAACTACTTATGTACTGGTAATAATACATTCAGTAAATCATCAGCAGTTACACATAGAGGTGAACATGGTAAGAGCACAGGTAACAAGATAAACATACATTTTATCATGAATATTTATAAAATGTTAGATTGTACTTTTTCAAATTGTTGATTGTTCTTGTTCTTTTTCTAAATATATTTTTAACTTTGGGTTTTTGAGAGCCCATGAACTGTAAATGCTTTTGATAGGAATTTGTCTTTAAGAGAATAAATATTTGATACATTTAAAAGTGAAAAAACTGTGATTTCTTTTAGAAGTACTTTGGAATACACATTTACTAGAGCAAACTGAAAAAAGCAATAGTGGGATACAAATACCTCACATTCATTTTTAGTAAATTACATTCTTCATCTCAACTCGATAATGAGGAAAACATTTCAAGGTTTAAGGCTTGTCCAATATTCTGCTTGAAAAACACACAAAAAAAAAAAAACATATTTTAATTTGAAATGTTGCCCAATATACAGCCACACAGAGCACTTGCTCTGAGATTCATTTAATGAAAACGAATGTAGCCTTGTAGTCATTCTAAACTACATTCAATGACAAACAAATGTTAGACTTTAGATGTTATGTTATTTTCGCAATTTTTATTTTCTCACGATTTCCGCCTTATTTCACATCTGTACTCAGTATTGTAAAGAACCTTTTTAATTGGGAGACATCATTATACAACCATACATCAGGAAAAAAGGTTGATGTTAAAACATGTTCTTGGCAGCTTTGAAAAATGCATTATAATCTTGGAGAAAACTAAAACCTTCTGTAAAACGATATCAGTTAGAGTACAGCAAGCAGACCATTGGATCTATTCTCTCAGGTCGGAGGTTTGTTTGGCTATTTTGTCAAATTCACATACTGACAGCTATACACAGAGATGTACAGGTTTACACAACCGCACTAACCATCACTGCCTGACATCTCAGAGTTGACCAGCATGTTACCATGGATATAAGCAGTCAACTGTCCAGTAATACAGATATTGATCACCTCCCTATGGTCTGGAGATTGCTGCTTTTCAGCACATGGAGCACACACCCTTTTTCCCGCTCATGTGTGCTCCGGCACTCATAGTCTCAGCAGCATTCCATCTGAGCTGCAGAACCTGTCAATGTCTGTGCAGAGAGACAGAGGTCTGCTCTCACAGTAGCACTGCAGGAGTCATTGATGGATTGTTACGGCGTGGCCCTTGACTTGTGACGTAAATCAGGCCAATCTTTACAGAGACTGACGCTATAAAAGCGCCGTAGTAATCAATAGGCGCCTGCAGCAGAACTGCAAAAGAAGAGGTGTGTCGTCCAACTTGCCTGCGGGATGCTGTTACCCAGGTAGGTGTGCTGCTCATATTTCCTTCAATCTTGCTTAAGGAGGTGGAGAGAGCATATGAGACATAGCTGTGTTGCACACTTACACGCTGGTCAGACTGGATTACAGCCAATTCACACGGTCTTCTAGTCCCATCTCATTCTCTACTGGGAGAGGGGAAAGTGCCAGAGAGATTTCATGCCTGAGACAGAAGAGTTACAGTTGTATGTTCCCCATAGACAATCCTAACCAACACTCTGCTACCAGCACATCTGAGAGCACTCTATCCCGCCGACGCACGCTGACAGTGTGAAAATGAAAATCTGCCAGCAAAGCAGGGAGCTAACTGTAGCCCAAAATCGGCTAACCAGGCTAAACGCCCTCCTTTTTTCCACTTTAAGGGGGGGGGGGGTTTCAGGGATCACAGCAGCATTCAGTATGTAAGCCAGAGGACTACTGCTACAGGATTGACACAGAGGTTACAAAGGTCAAGTCCAATGCTTCAGTTTGCTATTGAGTTAAAGACAATTCTTGATAACCAGGATCCTTGGTATCGGTGACATGGTTTGAAGAACAGCTGAAAAGTAGGCCTCCTCTACATCTCAGATCAGCATTCATGATACAAGCTGGGATAATTCTCTCATATTCCATTTACAGAACACAATGTGGCTATTGCTCCTGATCGAGAGCTTCTCTGTCCACGTCCTGACAGGCCAAGCTGAAAAACCCACTCTTCTCACTGAAATAACCAAGTACAAAAGAACAGTTTGACAAAGGAGGGAAAGAAAGAAGGAGAAAATGCAATCGATACAAAATGTCTCTGTAAAATGCCTCAAAGAACAAGGTTTTGTCTGAGAGCATTGGCAGGCTAGAGGCCAGGTCACAGTGTGCTGCTCGGCCTTCCCTTTATTCCTGTTAAGCTTGAGAGTCCACTTAAACCTTACGAAGCTCTCAAAAGGCAATGGAATACAATTTAAAGTGACAATTCAAACACTTGCTAAACCAATAACAGCGTTTCCTTTTTTATAAAAAAAACATCTGAACCCATTTTTTAACAAGGTTCTGCTTAATGGAATCTTGAGGGGAAATAAGCAAGAGGTATATTATTGAGGAGACACTTAAAGTTAAACCTATAAAAGTATAGAATACATTTAATGTGTTAAGATTATACAGGTCTTTGGTACGCTAGGACAGGATTAAGTGAAATGGCATTAACAACAAAAACTGCATTGGTCAAATGAATCTTGTGCTCCAATTTCTTTGAGACAGAGAGACAGTTCTTCACAGCAAATTCAAATATATTGCCAGTGAAGAAAATGTTAACTAAACTAATATAGTCTAATATTTCTGTTTGATGCAGAAAAGATGTACTTGTGAATGTGGGCTCATAGCCTTATGGAGTAATATATATACTCCGAACGAGTTGCGTCTCATATAAAGAAATAAACACAGTTCAAAACCATTTAGATGCAACATGTTTGATAAAAAGATTAGATTGCAAATTATGCGTATGTGTATAAAAGCTATCAATCTTTGTTGGCATCACAACACTTAAATGCTAATGGCGAAAAATAACAACAAAACGCCTCACACTTCTTTTCAGGCTGTTTCATTTCAAAATCTCTCATTTGAAACTGCTGCCATTTACATGAAGGAATTGTGTTGGCAAGTTATGGCTTTTCCAAATGACAGCCCGTTAGCAATATGAGGGCTGAACATTTAAATCCAAAACATAAAAATGACCTTACTTACACAGTTTGGAACATTACCCTCAACATCTACCCAAATAAGATATAGTATGTGTGTGGTGTGTGTATGTGTGTATTTAAAGTGGGAGAATGAAGACAGATACACAGAGGGAACAACATCCAGAAGCCAAATAAATAATGGGCTACTTACCGGAACTTTGCTTCCAGTTATCTGCATGCAGCGATCAGCGGAGAAGGTTAATGTGCAAAAAGACACAAATCACAAAGCACAATCATTAGTAGGCCAAAGGATCTTTTCTAATACACGTTGAGGCATTAGCGTAGCTTGTGTGAGATCACAAATACACTATACAACACAAATATTTACGCCAACAAGAAAACATTTAAAAATATATGCACATACTGAAGATAATGTCTGTGTTTGGCAGCTGCAATTTTCAAATCTCCAAATCAATAATAAGATAAGGTAAATGTGGATAAAGGAAAAAAAAATTGCAAAGCGTGTACCTCACAAAAAGTATGATGTTATTAGCAGGCCCCATGTAACTAACTGGCTGGTGTATATTCACACATGTATTCCCTTTAAGATTAAGAGGCTGCAGAGGGACTACTTGTGCCGATATCAATCAGCTGCCAATAACGTTTGGTTTCCGGTGTCAACATTGTGTGGCAGAGCTACCGTGAACCTATGCAGTCAGCACGATTCTCGGAGTTTAACCTTGTTATCTGTCAATAGTGGCAGGGAGCAGGATTGTTTTTTATTACTGCAACTGTGGTCCTTGTTTCACAGTAGGAGGGTGTCTGTCGGCAGAGTAAATGTATTCTATACTGTGACTGAGCGCTTCTTTCTCTGCTACATTTTTCTGACAAAATGTGTTTTGATTGCAGGAAGTTACAGGACATATTGAGCTCCTTGTTTTCTAGCCCTTTCTTTATATGGCGTTTCCATCCCCTCCCAACCGCGCCTCCTCCAAACTCTTATCTCCTTTCCCATTTCTTTTATTGTCACTCTCCAACTTTTCAACTCTGTGGCCATTTGATGCGTGATTACCCCTCTACCAAGAGTTTATGAGAGCCATAACGTCTGTTTTACATGTGCCATCTCGCACACACTACTTTTGAACCATTCTGTGAATCCACATTTCATTTGCTTTCTAGTGAAGGCAGAATGTTACTGTCTACCACTTGGGAATATTTTACCGTAACACTGCAGGCTAGACACCTCGATACGAGTCACACTTACGTGACTCCACTTTCACAGATGTTGAGGACATTGGATACATATTTTTGAATCTTATTTGAGAGCAGCTTGACCAAAATATCAGACACCATCTTGAGCGTGCACAGACAAGAATCAGGGAGGAGCTCGAGGGGGAAAAGCACAGTTTCTTTCACAACTTTCTATTTTCAATACAATGTAACACCTTGTCGTAAAAGAAAAAGGGTGAACTATTTTGAAGTTCAAAAGTAATCATTGAGTAAGGTAATACTACCTAAGATTTGATATTAGGCATCTTTTACACTACAGGGAAAAAAAGGTCGCTGTACATAAGTGTGTACATTTTTCTGCTCAAATGATATACTTATTGCAAAACCAAACATTTAAAAAAAGGATTTAAACGATCTAAAATCCAGGCCCTATAAAAAAAAAAGTAAAAACATCCTTTTGATTAGAACAGCATGAATAACACTGGACAATCCCCCTCACAAGACCCTGCCATCGCAAGCTTCCTACATCACAGACACAGCATGTTTGACTTGAAAGAAATGATTCATTGACAGTGGATGAAGCCAATTTTTGGAGAAATAAGCAATTGTATTAGTGTGATGATGAATTGTGGCAGATGTAATGATTTTGGCAGACATTTACAGCGAGAAGAAAGAACAAGAAAGGAAGTGAGAGGGAAAGGCAACTGTTCATGCAAAGCCAATGGTCAAGGACGTCCACAACACTCTCCAACAAAAGAGCTGGATTCCATTGGAACAGTTCAAATTAACTGAGCTACCGATGTGCAGCTCTCCCATGAACATAGAGAAAGAAAAGATTGGGCTTTCCTTTGAGAGAGATAGGCAAAAGTAAACAGTATAAAGTATATTTTAGCCTTTTTTTCCAAATACCAATAACTTGGACCGAGTCTTAGTTAGAATAACTAAGACAGATCGTGTTATAGACATAGCCTTTTGTGGTAATTCAACATGCATGAATAATGAAATGAAAGAAAGTTGTATAATCTAAAGGAAACCTCAATCACGCTATTCAACAAGCTTACAGTTTTCCCTTCTTGTTACAGAAAGGAATAAGGTTGCTTTTTGTTGGGCACCGAAGCCCTTTCTCATTTGAGTCTGCAGGGACAAACATGAAAAAGGCAACACAGTGTTTGGAAATACTTCAACAAATGCTTTCAGTTTTAAACCTTTCAAGCATTTTTAAAGTCTCATAATAGGGCAGCATAGAGAAGATTGAACTCAGTGATTTTTTGAGTTTGTAAGGAAACTACTTAAATAAATCCCTATCTTTCAAAATGTTCTATTGGGACCTCAAAACAACATCAAGAAGAAACCAAACAGGAAATTGAGATGAGAGTGTGTTAAACCCTTCCAAAGACCCTAAAACTGTAAGTCACAATGCAGGATACAAATTTAGAAAAAAGACTGCAATGCATTACCAGTGAAGGCACCATGACAAAACAAGACACCCCAACACGTCCAAAATCCACCACGCCCAAATCCATCACTATTTAGTTTTTCAATGCAACATTAGCCCCATATAATGCCTTACCCTGAAAGAGAAATACATTTGAGTTATGGGATGCTTTAGTACATACAGGCTCATGAAGTATGGAGGAAAGACAAAAACAGAGCAGTTGCTTAGAGAGGCCAAGTTTACACTAAAACGTGCCATTCAAATACTTTAAAAAAGGTTTGTATTTTTTTAAAGAAATGTCATACTTTTAAATCTAAACTAAAAACACACTTCTTCTCTCTGGCTTTCTAGTTAGAGCGGAGCACGACTCCTGACTTTTCTGTGTGTTTTATTTTTATTTTGTTTAATATATCTGTTGTAATTTATTGTCGTTTATTGTGATTGTAGTAATGTGTTTTTATTACATGTACAGCACTTTGGCTCGAGCAAAAATCGCTTTTAAATGTGCTATATAAATAAAACCTGATTTGATTTGATTTGATACTTCCGATATATTTGTTGAAAAACGAAGCTTTAATGTACTTTAATTTACATTAAGAAGTTATAAAAACCCAAACCACACTATTCAAGATGCTACAGAGCAGGATCATTATAAGGAACAGTTTTACAAGTTGCTTGCTTATATTCATTGTTCAGATTTGTAATAATATGTGTTCAATCTTTCTGAAGTGAACAAAACGTAACTACATTCTAAAGAAATTGGGCTTCTTGTTAGTGTCTTTACTGAATAAAAAAACCTTATTGTTTGTAGGATTACCTGATGTACTTTTTTGAAACTGGATTAAATCGTGTCCTCCTGTGTGCCCTATAGTTTATCAAAGGTTGTGCTTATAGTGTCTCTCTCTGCAAATGTATGTTGTAACAGTGTCACTATATTATCAGAAAACATTCACAACAGTGCCCTAAACTTATCCAGCTAAATTGTCCTTTGGGTCACTTGAGTATTATCAGTGTTTGACAGTCGATCTATGTAAAGGTGTTCTAACTGTATGCACTGAATGAAAGAACATATACATCATCCCTGACACTCAGCCATCCCCCTACCGTCACTTCTATTAAAGGTGATAGCAGGGTGCAGAGAGACATTACATTGTGTCCTCTGTCCTTTGACTACATAGATTACGTTATCCATTTGAATAGAATATCAGTGCTCACAAAGCATAATGGGCCCTGTGAGGAATTCAATCATCTTGGATAATCATCATTATCAATAATGCCAGTTAATTACCATAACAATGAGGAAGGTAATAAATGATGATGTCAAGAGAGAGCTAGGTTCGGGAAGCAATGGGGGCAGAAATCTCTTTTTCTCTGTGCTGAACCCCTCAAAGTGGGCCATAATTTCAGAAGACTAAAGGATAATGCCTCAGACATTCATTGAATACGGTCAAACTTCTTTAATTACACTTCTGTTTTTGGGTAAGAGTGTGGATGCAGATGTAAGATTAAATGCAATCATTTGGTCCATATTGGCCAGCCCATTACACAGAAGAGTTCTCCATTTTAAACGCATATCAGAGGCGACACAGTTTGAAATATTCAAATAATTGTGCAGACTTAGTGTCCATAATTTAATTTTTTTGTCTTGCAGAAAAGCATTTGCAGGGCGCTTCACCCACAGTGACGCTCAGAGATTTTCCACACAATGTGTTCGATGGGGCCGGAGAAAATAAAATGGTTTTGTTATGCAGTGTATTGTGCAGCTGGCCGTAATGTGGCCTATGTAGTATATTTGTATTCATCGTAGGCTTGTGTTGATCAAAGCCTAAGACGCATGCTTTTCCTCACTTTTGTACTTGGTGGTTGTGCTTTTTATTGTAGAATTGCTGTTGACTGAACTCATGGTTTGTAATGGATAAACAGAAAATGAGGCAAGGCACCACCACCAAATTCCCATGCAAGTAAACAACTGGACATCCAACAATTTGCATGCAAGCACATGACTGAAAAAGCTGTGACCATACAATTTGCCTTGAGTAAGTGAGTGACTATAATTTAAAGCCTACAACGGCAGATGGGGAAAATAATGAAAGAAATTAATCAAAATTGCAATCAAAGATGTGTGACTCAAGCATGAAGATTTGTGAGAGAGACAACAACAGAAGTGAGTACGCAATGACAAAGACAGACATAAAGCAGGGGATCAGGTTAACTCATTCAGGAGATTTGTGATCATGTCACAACTTCAGCTAATCCACAACAATATCACAGTACACACACACACAGGCTATGAAAACAGAGCTGTTAGGTTCACTTTCACACTTACAGATTTGGCAGTGGCGGAGATGTACTGGACCACCATTTCTCGTCTGGTGCTCAATTCCTTTCCACGCAGAGGGGCTTTGCGTTCTTCATTCAGGTTCATGTCCTCCTAAACGCACAGGAGACAGCAAAAACAATTGAATGTAATGGTAGAAACGCACTGCTACCCAAATGTAGTACAACACATTTATGAATTTTCAAAATAAAATGGAAAGCTACATAAACACTTGTATGAGTTTAACAAAATAGACAATAGCCGACTGTATGCCTCAACCTAATAGAACACAGCAACGTACTGCTTCTCAACTCTTTGAACCACATTATTTACAGAACAATAGCTTCACTAGCAAAGCAAATATTTCTTTCCAACAATCATACTTTTATTTTCACTATAGTCCGTTTACATCATATCCCGTTCTTCTACAGGTGAATGCATTTCTTTTCCATCTAGGTTTCAAAATGACGAGGTACAGCAACAGGAAATATTGTCACTAAGAATTAGTCCTTGAAACGACAGTAGCAAGGCTAAAGCAATAAACTGTACACCCCAACTCTGCACAAGAGAGCAACATCAAACAACACAGCTTCTATTGAGGCCATGCAATCACATCAGATAGGCAGGATAGGCAGGATCTGCGTGTTATTGGGAGTATTATCTTCGTGCTACTTTAATTCTGCATCACAAAAGAGGTCTTTCATGTGAAAAACATCAGGGGATGGAGTGAAGGCCGGACAGAGCACTAAAAGCCAGGGAATGACATGATGATTAGAATGGAGGGGGATGTTTATCAGAAGCACTCTCACAAAGAGACAGCTAGAATGAAAAGAACAAATTCTCCTCAGGGTTTTAGGATAGTGAGCCAAATGTGCTGGAGCTATGCTGCCCTCTGCTGGGGAGAACAGGAAATCATATTTCCTTTCTTTGGTTGATCCGATTTGGCAGATATTCCTCTCTATCTTATCTAATGTAAAATGCACCGTATAATTATGAAATGTGCCACTTCTAAATAGGTACATTTTAACACAATGGTTTGAATATCTTACTAAAAGTACTTTTTCTTTATTTATCAGTGAAGCATGGACAGGAATCCCGTCCAGGGGCACTGTGACCTAAATTCCTTCTACTACATTTCCTCCAGTAAATACCCTCGGAGCAAGAAAAACCATTAACATCGTTTTTGTGGAACAGGGAGGGGGGAAAAAGGAGCTGAAAGTTGCCAGTTTTTTTCACCGAAAGGAAACCAGCAGGTTTTTTAATTAATCTTTGAACCCTGCTAATTTATCTGCTTAATTGGCATTCAATAAACGAGGCATTACGTGGCGGGGTGAGTATGTCGTAGGAGGGGGGGACTAGTGGGCCTGCGGGACGCTTGTCAGGGGGCAAACTCGAGGAATGAGCCCTCCACGTTAAGTCTCCAAAATGATTAATGCTCTTTTATTAATTATACCCTCACAGGCTACATGAAAAGAGTCCCAGGATATCTTCCACTATTCTTCCAGCGTAACTGAAATGATAGGATTTGAGCATGGATGAAAGTGGAGTTACCAAGGAAATGTTTCGGATCTTGTTGTCTCATGTTGGTCTGGGAAGCTAATCAGTCTGCTTGTCTTGCTTATGCCAAAATAATCTAATTCAGAAACGAGCCGGCTACTTTTTTTATATTCATTTTTAAACCTCATAAAATAGTTGACATTAACAAGTTGCTGTTCCTCAAGCAAGCTCATTTTACAACCAATAGCCTCCACCTTAAAACAATATGAAAATGATAATAGTAGCGTGCCTGTGCCTCTGTATCAAACACGCCCCTGTCCGTGCTCTATATCAAAAACAATAAAACGTGGGGAAAGTGCTCAATAAAATATATTGGACAGACAGGGGGTATACTCATAAAAAGGGCTATTCCAGTAACAAATACATTTGTGTGCTCAATTAATGAATGAATGAATGAATAAATGATCTTAATTTACATTACACACATTTGATTCAAAAATGAAAAAAGTATACATTTAAGTATTTTAAAGTATTTAATCCCACTGTGTTTTGGGACAATGCAGACACACATTCACCCTTAATACAGCGAAAGCCACGACAGCAAACTCCAATCTAATTGAGCAGGTGTTCCAATCACTAAAGACCAGCCCCAAAACAAGCAATTATTAAAAGACGGCTGCATGACAGGCCTGGTAGCGCATCACTACAATAAAGCATGCTGAAGTCCCACATGATAAGGATTGGTAACAAATATTAAAAAAAGTGGATTTCATTTAAACATGTTGTTGCCCCTACATTTGGGAGACAATGTATAGAAGTTCTACAATATATTCCCACATGGTCTTTAAAAAAAGACATCGTATGGATTGTTTTGCTTGGGTACAGAGCCAAAACAAGTGAATATACAGTGTGCCAATGTCTTTCTACCTAGGGACTACCCTGCAGGAACAAAATGGAGATGGGTAAAAGTTCTCAAATCCTGTGATGCGATGTGGCTGCAAACCAAGATCGCCACAAGCTTTGAATCACAGAAAAGTGCAATTAATGCCTAGCATCAAATACGTCTCATCCTGAAATAGAGATGAAAAGTCCACGCTATGGGGAAAAGTGGATCCGAACAAAGTAGAAGAGGTTAAAGAAATGTTTTGCTTCAACTGTGACCAATCGATTCTTTTTCTCCACTATACCCTCAAGTCTGATTCATGTGTGTGGACAGAGTAACTCCCCTGTGGGCTTGTTTTAATATCATGGTGCAGAGTGTAACTGCTGAGGGATCACATTGGAGCTTATTATTGGAGTGTTCATCCTGACAATGTCGCATAGAGAGAAACATAAAACCTCAAACTAACCACAAAGAGCTCTGCAATGTGACGTTCTTTTTCACTGGTCCTATGCGAGCATCTCGATAACATACACTACTCTTCATTAAATGAGACGAAGCTCACTTTCTATGTAATCAATTCTTAGGAAGGATGTTATTCTCTTTGGGGATGTAATGCTGACAGACATCTAAAAGCATCATTTGGGCATTAATGCACTGCCTGCTAATGGCTACATCAGCACAGATGTCTTATAGTGGCCAATATTCAACGACACACACTCTCAACATTAGGGATTTTCTTCTGGATGGAGAGGATACGAGTGGTGTGTCAAATGTTCTAAAAATAATTATGAATAAGCATGTTAATTCATACATTTTAATTTGTTTGTAACAACTGAAATTAAAATAAATGTTGATGCATAGAGAGTAAAGTAAAAAAAAAAAGGTTCTACAGTTGACTAGATGCTGATTAAATTAGATCACATGTTAGTGTGTGTGCTACTGTGTTCATAGGTTGCACCTCTTGGATTGGAGTCTGCTCCCGCAACACAGCTGCCTCTTTAGTGAGATGCAAATACCGGACATTTAATCAGGGGATTTACTGCTGTGCATTTTGATGAGGGGCTCTGAATTCCATCTGTGCACATCTTGGGAAATCCAACGACAGGACACACCGAGTAAAGACACACACTATGCCCTTCTAAAAAGGCAGTGCTGAGAGCCATTTCTTTCATGCATGTTCACCGCTATAGTTTTATGAATATACGTGCGCTCTTAAAAATATCTACAAAGTGTTGTGATTTGGTTATCTTTGATTTAGTTTCTTTCTATATTTCCGCAGATTCCTTTGATGACCTTTCACTAATAGGATATGTGCCATTTTCGGCTTTGAGACACAAAGCGCAATGTGAAAACCCCTTTCCAGAGAAAGATACTTTCTCCTACTCGTTAATGCACAGTAGGTGGTCTCACTAATGTGGCATGGGTCATCCCTTCATTTGAAGCACGCTAGACATCTAAGGCTTGGCCATGTAGCATCGTAAAAACAACAATCAATAACAGAATGGGTGTAAAGACGAATAGATCTAAAAGTGTGTTTGTGAGTGTGCGGAGTGAATAACATAAAAAGAGATACAGTAGAGATGATAAAAAAAGACACGAAGATAAGCTGCTAGTGTCAACAGAAACTACCCACCAGTGTAATTTCTGTGTTTGCTGTAAAAAAGCAGAAAAGTTTTTCTTTCTATAAGAGCAAGTGGTCAGGTGGCTTCAAAAGTACTTCAGTGAATACTCCATTTGATTTTGATTTTATTACTGTAATTATACTTCCATACACCAAGTGTCAAGGCCTGTCAGAGCAGCAAGCATGCCCTCGGTGTCGTCTGTCACTGCGCAAATTTAAGCCTGGGTTTAATGTCACGCTACTGTGAGCACAAACATAGTAATTGAGAGGTGAGCTGAGTGACAGGGATGAGCACCCAGGCAAGAAAACACTGAGCAGCAGCCTGATGGAAACCAGGAGCATCGGTCGCATTTCTCTGGCCCTGGCAATAAAGGCCATTGTATCAGAAAAAAAAGAAAAGGCAAGCACCGTGTCACACACACATACACACTCAGACATTATCCACACACAACCTAAGCAATGAAGCCAGAGTGATTCAGCTCCACACTTCAAAGAAATGGTGCTGAAAGCTTTTTGTTAGATTTCAATCTTTTCAGTACATAAGGCCAAAAATGCATTTCAATGGGGAAAATCACAAGTGTGACAGAAATTTGACCCCACAGATGAGTGCGAAGTGAATTTCAAAGTCTGGAGCTTTTGCGACAGTGGCCTAGGGAATATGTAGGTGGGACTACTGCTTCAAAAGCACTTAACATTGGAATGCAAAAGGCATTCTTCTTCACTATAAATACTGCGCATATAAGTCTAATTTACATTTCTTAGTCAAAGCTGCTATCATTTTGTCAAACTATTCTCACATCTCTCACAATTGTTGAATAAGATATTTCTGAATGCATTTCACACATTAGGTACTGAGACTCCGGTTCATTCTCTAAAGAAGACGTCCTGTGTAACCACATGAGAGGGCACTGTTTCGTGACACCATTGGAGTTGTGTACACTGCTTTCTAGTTATGCTGCTATGCCTGGCATTATTGATTTGTGGGCTTTTAATCTGCTCAGTATTTACAGCATTTCAGAAACCCAAGTTACCTCAGTGGTTTACCATCATACAATTGGATACAAAGCACTTATAGATGCCTATATCGTAGTGAAACAAAATAAAAGTCACATTTTACAAAATTCTAAAAGATTCGTCCCCCGTCTTTGGTCTCAGCACTTAACTTTCAGCCTTGTCCAACTCTTTTCATCAAAATACACAACAGCGGCTCTGTTTCTCTCCTTTGTGCACAGATTTATGATGCATTTACGATTTCACAATGCTGTGCTTTTTACTGACTATTCAGTGGCAGCTGTAAATAAGCTGTTGTGGAGTGCTAGAGATGACCATGTGCAGAGGAAACACAACAAAAGAAACACAAAGCTCACCATCATCTTCTCAAAGAGGTCATTGATCTCCTTCTCCGAGAGGTTCATAGAGCGGTCGTCAAAAAGGGGCTGAGGAACAGGCATTTCCACCTGGGTAAAGAGGGGATCTGTGGAGTGCTGCGTTGAGTGCTGTATAAGGGGCTTCTCCTTCTTATTCCCCGTTTTCCGGAAACTGGTAATGCGGTCACGCTGAAAGAAAACACAGTGTTTGAAATGTTAAATATGGCACTGCTAACAATCCAGTTTATATTAGGCCAAGGCTCACTGTGTGTTGCTTTTTCTGTGAGAAAATATGTTTAAATTGCCAGTAATTCAAATGTAATGTTCCCACACATCAGAGGGTTTTAGTCTTTCTTGCTTTTTGAGGACACTGTTCACCTCAATTTACATTTAACAGAATCCTCACATAGCAAGGGCAGCTCTGAAGGTGTATCTGTGTTTTTTGTAGGTCACAGTGACCTTGCCAAACTTTAAGACGGTCCCTCAACGCTTTCCTGAGAATGAGATGGACGTGAGATCACAGTGACCTTTTACCACCAAAATGTATTCAGCTTATCCTTGATTTCAAGGCAAGGTGAGAGCCACATTTCAAGACATTTCAAGAAATTCCCTCCAGGCGTTCCTGAGATTTCACGAGAATGGGATGGCATGAAGACAAGAACATTTATATTTCACAAAGTAAACTGTATGAAACTTTTCAGGACTGTACTTACCATCATACCCATAGTATTACCTGGTTTATGCATATGGTATTAGAATCGTTTTAGCATACATTCACCATCATAACATCAGTGTGAGCTTCAGTTGGTTTGTTAATCATGTTGAGACTGATGAACGCAGTGTATAATAAAGTGTTATACAAAAGCAGAAAAAGTATAAACTTCATGCAAAAAGTAAATGTTAGTCGAATGTATTAAAACGGAAATGGAGTTGACGTGCTGGATGAATGAACACATAAATGAAATGGAAAAACAAAGATGATATGACATACATGACGTCACTACTATTAGTTTGCTGAGACACTACTGGATGGATCAAACATACTATGTGCAGTGCTCACAAAAGCAGCATAAACTTCTTCTAAGTGTCAAAGTTAAAGCTATTTGTTGTCAAAGGGTATTAAAAAAGCTCCAGGCAGAAACATCTAATCGGAAACGCTACTGATAATTGCACACTAAATGATCTATGAGCTTCTTATACAAGTCTAAATGTGATGGGTTGATTTCCGTTCATTATAAAAGACGTAGGACGACGGTCTGAAATAATAGCACCAGGATAAATAATCTTTTAGTTACACAGCAGTATGGTGGACTACCATAAGAGTACTTAAGATAGGGTTTAAGATAAGCCTTTGCTGTGACTGCAAGTAACATTAACTGTCACACTTTAAAGTACATAGATGTATTCTATCATCAGTGTCTCATGTTCTGTATTTACTACTAGCACATTTGATCCATCCATATATTTCAGTTATAAGTTCCATGCAGCAGTGACAAAACATGAGATAAAACAAAACTAGGCACAGCAAAATTAAACCGAGCACCTTACCATATCATCAGCCAATGTTTTTATATGTATGTTCTGTTGGAGGGAGGGCAAAGTGTGAAAAACAAGATCCAAAATAAAATGACAACAGCAAAGTGCACAGTATGTATCCCATTGGAAGTGTGCGCACATGTACAGTATCCTTTGGATAGTATCTCGTTTTCTTATAACCAATTAAGTTTCCGACTGACAAATGAAATTGTATACACCAGAGAGGCATAAGGACAATGCGATAAATATCCTGAAACCACAGGATACATGTGTTTTAGTTGTTTAATGAGCATATCCTGGACACTGTACATGTGGAAGAATAGATAGGATAATACTTGATGATCTCAAATGATGTGTTCAAATGAATGTAACATCTTGTGTGAGAGTGAACATCCCAAGCACACACACTTGAAGACACAAACCAAACAGATACATAAAAAAAGACATATCAGGAAGCACCTCAAATCCCAGAGACATAATGAGAAAGCACACCTGTTCAGAGAACCCATTGGAAACATGCAAGTAAGTGCTGTTTGGATATAGTTTTGTGTATCCCAAGATTAATACACATTAGCAGGGCAATATGTTACAGTCTCGCATTGGTTGGCCACCAAAGGGTAATATTATCTCTGTGTGTTCTAAAGAGCATCTCTTGTAGTGCAGGTGGCCCAAAAGAATCATTCATGTTCACTAATTGTTAATATAAACTGCTCTCAAAGAAAACTCCCAACTTCTCAATTATCTTTGTGTGTTTGCAATCCTTTGCGTCCTCCCAAAATGTTACAAATAGCTCATATAACAAAATTAAAACCACAAGTTCCCTTTACTACAGATGTTTATCTTCATCTGAGTCACAATAAGACAGGCTACTGCCAAAGGCTTGTGGCTCTGCAAGGGACAGCCATTTAAAACACACCTCAAATGGGAAGCAGCAGCAGCACCGCCATATGCTGTGGCGCTAGGCTGTGAAGCACTAATGAGTAGGGAGATGTGGGGTGGTGATGGCCATAAAGCCTGCCTCTAGCCGCAAATTTCTCCACTATTCTAATCAGGAAACTACTGATGCTGGGGCGAGCAAACAGATTGGCTCTAACCTGCACCTCTCTCTGTGAATATTCATCTGCTGTCGCTGTGGGCAACACTGAGCTGACATTTAAACTGCCATATCTATCACTAGTTTTGTCTGCAACAGCTGATCAACAGTTGTGGGATAAAGCTATGAAACATAGAAAAACAAACATCTGTCTACGTGCACACGTTGTGTTGACCAAGCTGTTATTTCACGTCAACAAAACAAATGTGTCATATTCATCCGGCATTATGCATGAAAGGCTCTGTCTGGGATGTCCATGTCTTTTTTTCACCGTCAATTGTGTTTCATATCTGCAAAACGTCTCACAATATTCTGACCTGAGCAACAACTTTCCCCACTTCTAACTCAGGGTATGTGTCATTAAGCCCAGCATTCTCTTGCAGTCTAAAACTGCGTGAAACAATAGCTAATTTTCAAATGGAGTACTTAGACATTTTCTAATCAATTTAACAACAATCAAACCACTGTTTGGTTAATTGCCTTGACTTGAGGGCCTTTCCTTGCCCATTATCTTGGCAACATCGCAACAACGCAATTTAACATCTAACAATTAAGCTTGCATGTCCTCTGGGCTTCTCCTGCTTATTAAAGTAAACTTTTTCATCATAATAAATGTTTATTACCAAACACATATTCCTCTAAATAACCTAATCAAATTAGCTCTGGGTCCCTCCTTAATCAAATATGATTATGACTCCATGCAGATCTTTAAGAATGAATTCGCAGAGCAATATCCCACAACTTGAGAGTCAATTTGGGTACACAAAGCCATATCAGTGTTCACATAAAACACAATAACTTTTTTAATTAATCTTACAAAATACAATTATTGTTAATATTACATTATCTCATTTTGATATCGTCCTTCTATTGATTTTAGTTTTATTATAAAAGTCCACTGGGTGTCACATCAAAGACGGACAAAGGATAGACTTTGTTTCAAATCGCCTACCATTGCACAGCTTTTAAAAAGCAACGCCTGTTATTCCCAATTTAACGGACCATCTGTATGACGTCATTTGAACTCACTCACTGGAACTATCACTATACAATCAGAAGCCATGATTCCTTTGTGAAAAGAGTATAGGAGGAAATTGGGTTTTACTTTCATTAGTTCTTATAATATCAAGTTCTCCGGATATGCTGTAAGGCCTGGTCATCGTGTGTTTCTACCAAGCCATCATTGTCTGGCAAAAATGTCATAATTTAATTCTATCAGACATTTGGGGTTAAGAAAATCTTATTAGCAATACAGAATTCAAGTAAAAACATGCTTTGTAATTTCTCAGTAGACTTGACCTTTCTAAAGGCAAAATTGTATGACAAAACAAATGTAATTGTGAAGGAGCGCACTACAGGTAATGCACACAACACGGGAGACTATTGCTTTTGTTGAAAACGTTGCATGGAAAACCTTGTTTGCTTATAAACATATATATATATATATATATATAAAGTTTAAACAACAAGAGTATAAAGCATTACATATGGAGTAACACATGCAAAGATTGCAACACACCTTAAACTCCTAAGGCTTTTGTTGAGCAGGATATTTATCAGTAACCAGAAAATACTAAGCTGATGGAAAATAAATAAAAACGGATAACCTAAATGCAAAGAAATAATTGTATTCACAAGACAAGAAGCAGAACTTGAATATATTCAATGATCATTAAAATACTGCCAATGAATCAGGTACTAAATAAGAGTGCATGTGCAGTCTAATTGTAATAATATATGTCTGTATCTATTACTAAACCACAGATGAGATACACATTTAATATTGGAAAAGTAAGAAACAATTATGTCTTGTTCTGAACTGAAAAATAGGGCCTCTTAAGTTCAGCTGTAGCTCCTAAACATGTTGATGAGGTGCTTTATCTCGGTGTAATCATATGTCGGATGTACCGCATTGCCAATATTATGCTCAATCTTGGGGCAGTGTAGTAACTGAATTAGATTAGATTAGAATAGATTAGATCTAAATAAATGAATGTATCTTCATTCATCTTGTTAAAAAGTCTTCTCATTAGCTGTCTTTGTAAACTCAGAGATTATGCACTGCAGATTATAGAAGCATAAAAGTATAATTTATCCTTCTTGATTAAATCTATCAAATTCATATTTATGTTTGCACTGTGACTGCGCCCAATTCAAGCAGAGCAGAGAACGGGGAAAATAGACACACTAACAGTAAGACCCTATTTATACCAGTCTACCAGGGGCCGTGGTGGTTATATAGTCTGACTGCTGCAGGAAGGAAGGCCCCGCGGTATCTCTCCGTGAGACACCGCGGGTGCACCTGGCATTTCATCCAAACGTCATCTAGAAAGCAATAATTCATTTAGCATACACAAAATGTGCTATTTACACAGCCAGGTATGAATTATATAACCCTTCTAGTGTATTCCCTCACACGATGCAAATATTTGTTCTGAAACTTCAATGACCCTAAACATCTGTTTCCTTTGCCCTACAGCCTCATCTTTATTCAAACTTGGATAGAAGAGCTCATCTCTCCAGCACTAGGGCCAGTTTCAAGAAGGTGCTGCTTCGAGTTGTCTGAATAACTTTAGAGTAAGATAATTGGTAGTCATTTTTGTTAAAATCAAGATAATTCAGTCAACCTGTTTCTTGGATCAGGGTCCTAAGTTGACAGCATGTTAGGGATGTTTATTGATTATAAACAATTCCCAGATGTTTACTGAAATGTATCTATATAATTTATCTATCCAGTCCATCTTTCCTCGAGCAACAGAAAGGTTCCCATGCCATAAATCGGTGAGTTGGTAACAAATATGGGAGTAAAACTCTGAGGGAGATTTAAGTATTGAGCTCATTATGAGTGCTGAACAGCACATGAGATACAGTGTCACAACTGTAGGCAGTGCCACAAGCACACACATGAGTCATGCAAACACACAGAGAAGCAGCCTCTTATCCCGGCACAGAAAAGTCTCTCACACACATTCACCATAATGACCCACTTCAACTCTCTACAAACTGGTTTAGGAACTATTAAATCAAGCACAGAACACATAGTTATTACTCTAAAAAATATGTAATATTGACAGTATCAGTGTTGATTTAGTTCTCAAGCACAGTATTGACTTTACATTTGTCCTTCCAAAAACTCAAATATTTTTCAGAACATGTAATACTGAAAAAAGACGGTAAAAGAAATGCAGTAGGTTTCTGCGAGAGGTGACTTTAAAAGGGCATGAGCCTGTTGTAGCTTTATTATTTCAGGACAGTGCTTGTACTGTTTACAGCTTCCAGGGACGCACAAAAGCCAGTAGAGCTAAGATTTGAATGGCACCACACTGACCATGTGACTGCAGACTAGCACAGCTCTGCCCTCAGGTTATCGCCATCTCTGTTGAAAGTAAATTCGTAGTATCGCATTCATGAGTGGGTGAGCACGATATGCAGCTATTACAAAAGTCAAGGTTAAGACAGGTTGGAAATGTCAGCGTATAATATTCTTAAACTGTTCATGGCGTCACAAGAAATGTCACTTTACAGACCATGGAATTACAAGATATCCAGCAAATACTATTTGAACTGCAGCCACTTTGTGATGTAATAATAACTTCTAGCTACAATTTGAAATAAAACGTTTGTGGTGTATTGTTCACACCTATTCAACGTGCAACTATTTTTTTATTTGTATCACTATTTTTTATTTGTATCACAATTGTTTTATTTGTACCACTATTTTGTATTTGTATCACTATATTGTAATATATATTTAATATGTATATAAGACCAAAATATGTATATAAAATTGCAAAACTCCGTCCTACACTCTCCCTGTCAGATGCAGAACAACTGGTCCATGCCTTCGTCTCCTCAAGGCTCGATTACTGCAACACTCTCCTCATCGGGACTCCTAGCGGGAGCCTTCAGAAGCTCCAATACATACAGAACAGTGCCGCTAGGATCCAGGGTG